TAAGAGCTGTGTTCATTCAAGAAGGACATCCCTTGTACTACAGTTCACAGGCACTTACAGACACTGAGAAATATTATGCGCAAATTGAAAAGGAACTGCTGGCCATTGTTTTTGCTGTCAAATATTTTCATCAGTATGTGGATGGTAAAGTAGGGACAGTGCAGTCTGATAATAAGCCACTTTAGAATATTTTTCATAAAAGTGAAATGGAGCTGCTGGCCATTGTTTTTTTCTGTCAAATATTTTCATCAGTATGTGTATGGTAAAGTAGTGACAGTGCAGTCTGATCATAAGCCACTTGGGAATATTTTTCGAAAACCATTTTGTTTCAAAAACATTTGGCATTATTTTACTTCCATATGGGTATATGGAAGTAAAATAATGCCAAATGTTTTTGAAACCAAAAAGCCTGTTGAATTGCACTACTTGAAAAAAATCAGTTAATACTAACACTTTCTCTTCTATTCTATTCTATTCTATTCTAATATATTATATTATATATATATAGGAATAGGTGGCTATTCCTATAGGAAGTATATATATATATACTGGGAAGGGTCATAGCACTTGCATATTGTTGTCCTATTGTTAGTTTAACTGTAAGTCGCTTTGGATAAAAGCGTCTGCTAAATGACTAAATGTAATTGTAAAAATTGGGCTTAACATTGGACATTCACTCATTTAGGGACAGTCTCTAAAGTTGCATACAACATTGGTATAGGCCTACACGTTTCTAACTTCCATAACAAACTTCAATTTATTTGAATAAATATCAAAAATCTAAAAGGTGCGCATTATGCCTGACACCTACATGAACACTTTACAGTTGGTTTTATGACTGTAAGTCATTCTCTTCAAATGCTATTGAAGTTAGAAACGTGTATACCAATGTCGTATGTAACTTTAGAGATGGTCCCTAAATGTGTGAATGTCCAATGTCAAGCCAACTTTATGCCAGTATATCACTGGAAAACTCTCAGCATTAAACTTTGCGCGTTAAATTCATATTCTGAGTCCATCTGCTTGCCTGCGAGTTTGGTCTTTTATATCACTATTAGTCCATTAAGCTACGTTAAGCGTTTTATATGTCCAGCAGGGGAATCCTGAAGTATTGAGGGAAACCCTAGTCCTGCATGCAGCACATCTCCACAATATAAAGTTAAGGCAACTAAACAACCAAGAGAAATATATGTCTACGTCAAATGTAACATTGGATCTGTACATCCGCATCGGGGGAATAACATTATAATCTTGTTCACGGTAGAGAAAGATACATGTAGGCTACACAGGAAAAGTAACCGTGAAGTTACTTTTAACTGAAGTTAACTGAATTTAACATCAATCAATGAACAAACGCCATCGCACACCTGTAGGTGATAGGTGCCTGATGAAGGTCGTAAGACCGAAACGTTGCCGCTAAATTAAAGTTTTATTTGCAAGTACTGATAGTGTGTGGGAGTTCCTATTTACTGAATTTAACATAAAACAGCCGTCATAATAATCACAAATACACTTACATTGCTGTAAATTAGTTTTTATGACTGAATGGCTTGCTCTAACTGTTGCTCTGGTCTTCGTCAACAACGCGCACTTTTGCACCACCTGCTGGTGAGGTTGACTAACAGCAGGTGGAGATTATGCTCGGTAATCTACTGCTTTTCCTGCAGTTCCTGGATGTCAACGTTGAATTTACTGTCGAATTTGAACCAGTGAATTTGTGGAAGCGAATTTGCAAAGCGAAATAAAATGGACTGAAAATTGCCTGTTGAAAATTGCCTGTTGAACTGAAATACTTCAGTTTGAATATTTTGGAAGTGAAATATGAAAGGTGAATATGGATTATTGATTTCCATTACACGAGTGTGACTCCCCTTCTGTCCGGCGTTAACGACTGCAGTGTACTTGGCGCGTCAGCACACACGACGGCTGCAACTACAGTGTGGTCTCCCTAGTGGACCAGCACTACAACCGTCTGGATTGAGCCAAGTAGGGGACATCTCTAGGGTCTTCAAGTGGGCACCTTCCGTCCTCAGTGTTTCGTCGACTAGCCCACGACACCTCAAGAGGGCTCGACAGTGACTCTGGCGTCCCAGAGTCACCCCCCTCCGTCCCCCACTCAACTCAGCCCAGCTTACTGACCTCTACATCCCTCCTGCTGCTGAGACCTAACCACAATCTCACAAAATTGAATTTCTAATAATGAAAATGTTTTTGTAATGTTTTGAATTGAAATATTCACAGCTTAAATATTCAGCCATGCTGAATTTCAGTCCATAAAAATGCAAGCCCTAAAAATACAATGCATTAAAATGCAAGCATGGTTAATACAATGCATTTTTTTTTCAAGTAGTGCAATTCAACAGGCTTTTTTGTTTCAAAAACATCTGGCATTATTTTACTTCCATACACCCACCAGGTAAATGTATGTGGATCGCAGACACATTGTCACAGGAAGCAGTGAGAACACAGGGAAACAAGTCTTTTCTGGGGTTAGTTGACTGACAAACTATCCAGAAGTGCTAAATTTGAGAGACAAATCTACCCATTCATTTGAACAAGTTATGAAAGCAACATTTGCAAGATATGGCATACCAAAATAAATTGTAAGTGACTATGTACCATTTGCAAGTCAAGAAATTAGAAAATTTGAATAAAGCTTTTGTTTTATTTTTGAGAATTTGTTGTTTTGAGGATAAAAAATCTCATTCGAGAATTGAGCCAAAGCGATGGAGAAAAACTCTAAATAAATGTCCAATTACCAATTGGCGCTTTTCCACTGCTGGAACGGCTTGGTTCGGCTCGGCGCGGCACGGTTTGGCTCGCTTCGCTTTTCCACTGCGTGGTACGACTCGGCTCAGCACGGCACGGCTCGGTTCGCTTTAGCTCGGTTTGCTTTTCCACTGCAGTTAGTACCGCTTTAAAGTGGGTGGGATTATAGTCTGACCGTTATAGTTTATCTGCTCCTCGGCAACCAACGAGAGGAATGGCTGCACTTCGTCCACTGACCACGATTCAGCCATTTCTTTTTTGGAAGTTACTTTCTTTCTTTTTTCTTCAAGCAAGTCGAGCAAGTCGTTTTAAAACAGGTGCTACAGCGGTAGCTGTTACTGGCTATTTCTAGCGGGTTTGATGTCTCACAAATACAATGACGCTGGTAGTGATGATTCTGTCTGACCAGTCAGTGATCTGCAGTGTGTTCACGTCACATTTTAGTATCGGTACGGTATGCTTGGAACCTCGACAGAGGTGGTACCATTTAAAGCGAGCCGAAGCGAGCCGTACCGTACCATACCATGCAGTGGAAAAGCGCCACAAGTGAGCCGTACCGAGTCGAGCTGTACCGTACCATGCAGTGGAAAAGCGCCATTTGATCAGACTTTCACGAGTTCACACTTACAAATAAGTCAGATAGAATAAAAGCATATTTGGCGTGCTGTCCGAGGAGAGGGCTCCGGGCTCGGTATGCGGCCCGAACCCATAGTACTCCCCCGTTCCTGACTGTGGAAGAATGAGCCAGGAGTGAGGAGTCGGGGTGGTGGAGGGATGCTGAAACTGTCAAGGAATGTTAGGTGAGTTGACAGTGGATATTTATATATGCTTTCTCTCGTGCTGATAGGGTAGACATGTAATAGTTTGGTGACGAGTTGATTGGAATGATTTATTTGAACGTGCTCCTCCCGAACCTTGTTTATAAAACATCATTTCACGAGTTCACACTTACAAATAAGTCAGATAGAATAAAAGCATATTTGGCGTGCTGTCCGAGGAGAGGGCTCCGGGCTCGGTATGCGGCCCGAACCCATAGTACTCCCCCAAAAACTGTGAAATAAAATGCAGGACAGCCGCCAGAATGATGCTGATGACCCCCCAAAAACTTGTGAAATGTAAAGCTTAAGATATCAGCTGCGGGAAGAGGTGGTTGCTGGGAGGTTTCTTTTAACGTAGGACGGGAGTAGGTTGACTTGGAGTTGGATGGGTGTGCCTCTTGGGTGGAAGGTTGTAAATGGTGCAGGGACGGAGGAGGATGGTATGGCTGATACGGTGGAAATAAGGTGGATGGAAAAGAAGGAGAAGACACCGTTGCGGCAGTGGATCGGACTTCTTTGGTAAACGGAACTCCTGCGGGAGAGGAGTGCACGACACTGCTGCGGCAGTGGACCAGACTTGCTTTAAGTTAATGGAGCTCCTGCGGGAGCGGAGTAGATGACACTGCTGCGGCAGTGGAGCAAGCTGGATGGAGTAACAGAGCTCCTGCGGGAGCGGAGTGCACGACACTGCTGCGGCAGTGGACCAGACTTGCTTGAAATAATGGGGCTCCTGCGGGAGCGGAGTAGATGACACTGCTGCGGCAGTGGAGCAAGCTGGATGGAGTAACAGAGCTCCTGCGGGAGCGGGGTGCACGACACTGCTGCGGTAGTGGACCAAACTTGCTTTAGGTAACTGGAGCTCCTGCGGGAGCGGAGTAGATGGCACTGCTGCGGCAGTGGAGCAATCTGGATGGGGTAACAGAGCTCCTGCGGGAGCGGAGTAGATGACACTGCTGCGGCAGTGAAGCAAGCTGGATGGAATAACAGAGCTCCTGCGGGAGCGGAGTGCACGACACTGCTGCGGCAGTGGACCAGACTTGCTTTAAGTTAATGGAGCTCCTGCAGGAGCGGAGTAGATGGCACTGCTGCGGCAGTGGAGCAAGCTGGATGGAGTAACAGAGCTCCTGCGGGAGCGGAGTGCACGACACTGCTGCGGCAGTGGACCAGACTTGCTTGAAATAATGGGGCTCCTGCGGGAGCGGAGTAGATGACACTGCTGAGGCAGTGGAGCAAGTTGGATGGAGTAATGGAGCTCCTGCAGGAGCGGGGTAGATGACACTGCTGCGGCAGTGGATCAGACTTTGGTCGAGTTAATGGAGTTCCTGCGGGGCGGAGTAGAGGGTGCTGCTGCAACGATAGATGGACTTGCCTTTGGCTTGCTTCCTGGGATCCTATGGTGGGTTGAGAGGAAGTTTAGCTGAGTAGGGATCGTTGGGCTTCTTTGGTATGGAGGTGGTTAGAACGGATGTAACTCTTAAAGGCCTCCGACGACCAGCGGCCTAGCTCTTGGATTTGCTGCTGGGAAAGGCCTTTTTGGGCAGCTGTGGTTGCTGCACCTATGCGGAATGAATGGCTGGAAAAATTATTTGCTGGGATGTTTGCTTGGAGTAAGATGGATTTGAGATGTTTTTGGAACCAGAAACGTGTAACGGGGCGATTGAAATCGTCGGTGAAGAGTGGGTCGGAAGGGGACTTGGTCTGAGAGTTTCTGAATTGTGAGTACGCGAAGAGAGTTTGGTATGGTTGGATTGGTGATTGGAGATTGAAGATGTATATGAAGTGGCCTTTTTTCATTTGGTCTGTCTTGCTTTGTTTGATGAAGTAAGAAATGGTTTCGTTGTCTAATACTAAAAGATCTGAGATTGTGGGATGGACTTTAGGGTTGAAGTTGGAGGTGATGGTGAGTTCTGAGCATCTGAGGAAACCGAAGAAAGCCAATATGAACATGGCATCCAGTGTGCGGCCGGTGTTGGTGGAGTGGTAGCCTCGGCGGAGGGTAGAGATACATTTGGTGAGTATGTCCAAGGTTATTGGTTGTCTGGCATCTGGACGGGTTGGTTGGGTTTTTTGGATGCCTTTGATATGCATTGATGTCTGGGAATTTGCTATGTCTGCGGAGGGTGAACCAAAAAGGAGTTTGTGGAAGAATTGGATTACGCTTAGATAGCCCTTGATGGAGCGGGCTTTGAGGTTCTTGGTGCTGTCCAGATAGGATATAAATGAAGTGATGTTGAGCAGAGAAAAACTGGGAAAAGGCTGGTTGAATGTGAAGTGGAAAGACTTAAAACACTTCCATGCGGTTAGGTAGGATTGGAGGGTGCTGGGTGAAACGGCTTGCAGAATGGAGTTAAGAGAGGCATCTAGAAGTGGTTTCAATGGATGGTTTATGGGAATATTAACTCTGAATAGTGAGGTACTGGGGTTGGGCATGGGTCCGCCTCTGGTGCCAACAGCCTGAATTTCTGGAAAGCAAAACGAGAGAGAGAGTCAGCTATTTGATTTTTGGACCCAGGAACATGTTTTGCAGTTAAGATGAACTGGTCGCAAGCTGCGATCCAAATGAGGCGTCTTAGGAGAGGCATTAAAGCGGGGGAATTTGAGCGGCCTTTGTTGATGCAATGCACGGTTGCTTCATTATCACAGTGTACCATGATGCTGTTAGTCGACCATTCTTTGCCCCACAAGAAGGCTGCTACCACTAAAGGATACAACTCGAATAATGCTGAGGATGTTAGTGATTGTGGTAAATCTAACAACTGGGCTGGCCATGTAGACGCGAACCAACGACCTTGGTAGAAACCTCCGAAACCAACGGAAGGAGCTGCATCTGTGAACAGTTGGATATCCGTAGGGAGAGAAATCAGATTATTATAGAAAAAAGACAGGCCGTTCCATTGTTTAAGGAATGTTATCCATAAACTGAGCTCGTTGCTACATGAAGTAGTTAGGGAGATTTGGTCCTCTAGCTCGTGAACTGATGATGCAAGGAAGAGGAGATGTGAGATGAAAGGGCGACCTTGTGGGATAATACGCATCGCAAAGTTTAAATGGCCGAGCAGAGATAGAAGCTCTCGTTTAGAGCAATTTGGATTTTCTAGAAGGGTGGATGCGACCAGAATAATCCTGTCGATTTTTTTCCTTGGGTAGTGAGGCCTGGAAGTTGATTGTGTCCAATTTAATGCCCAGGAATTCGATGGATGTGGCTGGACCCATGGTTTTTTCTTGGGCGATTGGAATCCCGAGCTCGCTGAAGACTTTTTGGACTGTGAGAAGATGTGCGGCTGGGATGGATTCAGGCGGAGAGATGATCAGGAAATCGTCTAGCAAGTGGATTAGGTAGGGTATCGAGTAGTTATTGGAAAGAATCCAACAAATAGCCTCTGATAGCATGTCGAAAATTTTGGGGCTACTTTTGCAGCCGAAAGTTAAACGGACAGAAAAATAAAATTTTCCTTGCCATCGTACGCCGAATAAATGCCACGAATCCGGGTGGATGGGCATCACTTTAAAGGCAGAGGTGATGTCAACTTTAGCAAGCCAAGCGCCGTAACCTGCGTCTTTAATCAATGTTATGGCTCGATCAATGGTGTGGTAATGAAGAGAAAATTGTTCGAGCGAGATGAGGCTGTTAATGCTTGGAAACGGAGAATTATGGGGGGCTGAAAGATCGATTATAAGGCGTTTTTTGCCTGAAAATTTCCTGGTGGCCACTCCAATTGGGCTGATACGGAAATGTTCAAAAGGAGGATTGTCAAAAGGACCAATCATAAAGCCCGATTCGATTTCTTTTTTAATCAGGGTGTCGACTGTGTCAGGTTCGGCGAAAGTAGATTGGAGATTATCACATATGTGTCACAGTGTCTGGTTTGTGTTTCCTGGGTAACCACTAGAGGTCCTCTTCCCGCACGGTGTCCCACACTCTGTTACTACATTTCCCATGATCCTGTCTGTCACTGAGTGTTCATTGTGTTCAGCTGTTTCTCGTCACCTCGTTTAGCACTTGTGTGTATATATACCCTGTTAGTTTCAGTGTCTGTTAAGGAGTCCTTGTCTAATGTCCCCACACTTCTGTTCCTGTTGCTGCCTGTTTCTTGTTCATGTCTTGTGTTTTTGGATTGATTTACTGGATTTTGACCGTTTGCCTGGCTGGATTGTGAGTACGGATTTCCCAATAAAACTGCTCTTGGATCTTAACTTTTCCTGTGTGTGTGTCGTGACAATATGATACTCTGTGTGGGGAGGCTTTCGACGCCCGGATTAAAGCCATGCTCGAGACCAGACAGTAAATAGTCCTTAAAATCAGTGTTAGGGTGGTGGGATAATTCAGAAGACAGACGGGAAAAATTCACAGGAGTCGATAAGTAGTTTTTTGAATCTTTATTTACAGACCTTTTGACAGGGCATATAGTGCGCGCGTAAAGCCATAGGCAACGCCCCGCATTGAAATTATTGCAGGCTTGGTTGTTGGATGGGAATGAGATTTTTCTTCTTTGGGAATCCGTAGCTGAGTCGTTGGGATTAAAGTTTGCTGGTCGCGGGACATAACTGGTTGATTTTCCAGCTGATGAATCTGGGCGGGGAGGATTTTCGGGGTTAATCAAAGGACAAGCTGTGGTGGAATGAGAGACAGATCTGCAAACTGCGCAGGATATGTTGCGGCAGCCTAAGAACACTCTGTTGTGTAGCTCTGTGTCAAGGGCTCCCCAGTAAGGGCACTGGTTCCACTGAGCTACACGGACGGCGCATTTTGCTGAGAACAATTTGTGGTAAGTGTAAAAATGTGTTCCTCCATATGACAACGCGAGCTCTGCAATTATCGCGAGATAGTCGTTCAGTTCTCGTCTTCTGTGGGGGAGTGCGGCGCAAATGATTTTGCTATACCGGCTGAAAGCAATTGCGAATTCGGAAAATGACAGGATGCGGGGTGAATTGTGAACTGGGTTTTTCAAGGTGACTGCAAAATCGCCGCAATCGATTTGCCTATTTGAAACAGAGGAAGGGAGGATAGATAGAAGAGAGGATAAATCAATATCCGCACCTGTGAGTATCTGGGCTCTGATGTTGTTGGTCAGAATTACCTTATGTGTTTCATGTAAGACCAATACATGTCCTATACAAAATCAGACCGATTATGGCCCCTTTCATACTAAATAGCACACATACAACTTATAGGGGATTTTTGCATCATATATGAATACTGTAAAAAGTCTTATATGAGTTGTACATGACAAAAGTATGCAATGGTGTATGGTATTAGTAGAAAACACCCGATATTCATATACAAATCATTTAAAGTTCTTATATTGAATCATATGAGTTTTACATGACAAACATATGCAATCGTATATGGTATTAGTAGAAAATAACTTAAATTCATATACAAATCATTTAAAGTTCTTATATTGAATCATATGCTAGTCAAATTAAAGTCCTATAGGATTTATACACATTTTGTGTCATTTTTTTTATACGTGTTATATAAAGTGTGTCATACAGATTTCATGTTTAGATGACCAACATCACTTATATGAAGTTTGCAAATTTGGAAATTGTACAGTGCAGAAGCTGGTTGGAGAAATACCTAGTGTCAAAATATCTCTGACCTTTATGAGGACTGGTCATTTTCCTTCAGGATTTGGACAGTAAATTTTAAATCTGGAAATCTCAATACTTTCAAAAGTGTTTCCTCTCGCAACACTGACACAGTGTTACAATATGAACACTAAGAGTAAAATATGACCACCAATGCAGAGAACAACAACACTGTTGCAGAGCTGGGTGCAGCTTTGTGGCAAACACTGGCAGAGTTACAATTCTACACTGTTCTGGTGTCGACCTAACACTTTAAAAGAAGATGAAAATCATTCATCATGGAATTCTTCTCAGCCTTAGGAGTCGAGTATTACACCATCCTGGTGTTGATAGAACACCTTTTTACAAAGAAAAACAACACTAAAGGAGTTACCCGTTTTTCTTATTAGGGTTCTGCATTACCTACTTTAAAGAACTGTAAAATAAACTGACAAATCATTTAATCTGAAAAGAATAAATTCACTTTGAAATAAACACATCACTCTATATTACTCTTTCAAAACTTTATTTCAAAACAATCCAGAAAGTTAAATTGTAACCAACCTTAGTCTGGGATTATAGCAGAATTCTGTTCATTGTAAAGTAAAAAATAAAGGCAAAATGCAAACAGTGGTTTTAACAAACTACAGGGTTCTCAAGTTTTATCAAAAGCTTGGAGTGAGATCACATGCGGTTAGGGGAGGAGCCTAAATGGAGCCCCGCCCCCAATTTTACCCATTGTTCATAATTAACCAGCAAAAATTGAAATTATAACAATTGGTAAATCTGATAAATGACAGAGCAATTCATCACATCAAATATAGGCCTACTCTTTAATGTTACATTTCAAAATTAGGCTACAAATATATAACAAATTGCTCCAAAATGTTTGGAAAAACAAATATTTTTGCATTTTTCCCTGACATCTTTGAAAAATACAAATGCAATGGCAATGATTAGGCTACTGTATGTTTTGACAGGATATACAATATTACCAAGAGCACTCTGCTAACTAGAAATACTATTAATACAGTATAATATAGAATTTAAAATAAACTGAAGAAATACATCTTCATTCCTTCCCATACCCAATAACATTCCCTTAGCTAAACTGAGCCAAAGATTTTGGCCTGGTTGCAAAGCAGTTGTAGAGTTTTTGACTGCATCAATAATGTATACGATGGGCTATATATTAAATGTTCTAGAACTTCTAATCTAAAATTGTTAGGCGAGCTTTCTTCCAACTTACTTACTCCATCACGACGTGTGTTCGCGCGATGTCGCGGTGGCCGAACTTCCGTGTGTGTTCGCGGACTTCGCGCGTCTATAAGTTGCCTAGTAACGAACGCAATCTGGCCAAGATGCGGACGCGCTGGCGGCAGGAAACTTATCTTTGTGTGCATGCACGTTATATATAAAGCTTGCAGGACAACTTGGTTGGCATTGCCTTTTCAGCGTGAGAAATACACGGTGCGGCGTGTGAGCGTGTGAACTGGTTGAATTGCGTGTGTCTCACGGCCAATGCGTGAGACTTGAGAACCCTGAAACTATTTATTTTATTAACGAACAAGCCCCTTTACATCATAGGTTAACCTTTAAAATAAACAATGAATGCACACTATAGGCATTTCTGTCATCAGAATTATATGAAAGATGCTTATCAAATGGTCTGTAATACTTCAAATCCTGAACATGTCAGTGAATGTAAGTCCTGTGTCAGTGAAGTTGATTCAGTACCTTCGACCCTGCAACAGTACAGCAGTGCTTGAGTCAACCACATTCAGCAGATGAAGAGCAGTTCTAGGATACGAGTGGATCAGTTGTGTCCAGTTGCTAACAGTAGAGTTTCATAGAGCAGGAATGGCTGCGCAAATCCAACTTTCTCGAAAAATCCTGGAGTGCTGGTTCTCTAGACAACACAAAACCAGACCGATTACAATTAATACAATTTGTGTTTTATAAATACAGCAAGTTTATGTTGGAAAAAGTTTAAACATCTAACATCAATCATCAAGCGTATAACTAGACGCGGTAGGCGCAAATTTTGACGAGCTATTCGCGTCTGGTGTGAACGCAGCATAATGATGTACCTTTATACCTTTCTGGGGCTTGAAAGTGGTAGTTGCATAGACTGTCAATGGAGGGGCAGGAAGCTCTCAGATTTCATTAAAAATATCTTCATTTGTGTTGTGAAGATGAAAGAAATTCTTACATGTTTGGAACGACATGAGGGTGAGTAATTAATGACGGAATTTCCATTTTGGGTGAACTAACCCTTTAAAGGGTAACTAAACCCTAAACCAACTTTTTTTAGTTAATGATCTGTAAGAATGCAGCTTCATAAATGCTGTTCATTGATTCGAGTAACTTTTTTGACATTTGGGTAAAAAGTGTTTTAATTCTACAATATATGGTATAAAAACGTCTGAGTGCTGCCCTCTTC